CCCCCCCCCCGTTCAAAATGTTTTCCAATTCTTTTAAAAGCGATATTTTGGTACAAAAATGTTTTTTTGCTCTTCCGAAAATAAAAATGGAAACACAATCTCATAAATTGTGAATTCGTTACAACGTTTGATGAAGAAGGCTGTTCGCGATTTCAGATTTTCATTTTTCAACGATCGCGACAAGTCGGTTACCAATTTTTCATTTATGCGATTACGGACTAACATTTGAAGAGCAGGTCAATCTCATGAAATGCACACCGCTCTTTTGTCGTAAATTTATTGCAGCAGCTACATTTTCAAGCATGGAGTTACTCAAACTTCTTGCGCTATGAAGAAGCCCTTATAATGAACAATTTACACTGTATATACTGATACGGAATATTAATTTTCTTTATTCCTCAACTTTCAGTTATCGCAGTCCTCGCCAATAATTTATTGGTACAGCATTAAATCATCATTTAGCTTTTCTTCTGATTCTTTTGAGCAAGCCACAGATTCCCCGAAAGGGCATGAGTCATATCATTCAAAGGATTCGTGGGTTAAAATGCAGTATGAGCAAAGAAAAAAACCAAAGAAAATAAGCATGGTTTTGGTTGTATTTCGATGAGAAGCTCAAACCGTTTTCAGAAAATGTTGGGTATTTACACTCGCTGACGTGCACAAAATAACAACGAAAAGTCGAGTTGATATGATGACATATTATGGCATACTCTTTGTACAATGTCACCCGTGCCCGAACCACGTGAGGAAAAATAACCTCTTGTTGAAATTGAAAAGAAAGCTCATTCCAGAAATGGGATAAATTCGGCGGATTTCGTTCATACAGCTGCATCATAACTGACTACACTGAGACAAGATATCCCCTCTCTTTCTCACCGTTCACACGATTATAGAATCTCTGTATACAGTTACACTCTTTAGGCATATTTAGTTCATGCCAAGTTCTAAACCACGACATGTAAAATTTGATTTAAAATTATTCTTCGGAAATGTTGATGCTCGTGCATCTCCACGAGACATTTTGCAAGTGATTTTCACGAGCTTTT